AAAGAGAGAACTTTATCTTTGCTGTACTGAAAATGAAGAAGCACAAATTTCTTTGAACGTTTCAAAATAACAAAATATTAAAGGGAGATCATACGTCTTGGATCCTCTCAGGAAAAATACTCTTTGTCCGTCCTAACAAATCTAAAATAGCTCCAATTTCGGATAGGTAGGTTAACATTTCAGATAGTTTTTTTTTCCAAGTTGTAAAATTAAAATAACGATGATTTACGAAACACGCAATGCAAAATTCAAATACACATTTTTTTTTGTGTTTTTTATATATACTTCGATAGAACACGAACAGCTAATTAAGAAAAATTGGATTTAAGCTTTTGAAAAAGCGTAATGATTGAACTACGTCGAAAACTTTGAAGAGAACCAATTTTTTTTAGTAAAATGGATCATTTTTCAAAACATGCGAACTGTTCTGTTTCGGTTATTTTTTCGGATGCAGACACTTCTTAAAACTAAAACTCAAGTTTTCTTAGATAGACACATGAAAATTTAGTTTGAATGCTTCTGTCTTTGTTAGAAGGGAGAAAGAGCATTTTTCTTGAGAAAATCCGAGACTTTTCGATTACCCGTTAAATTTATTGTAAAGTAACAAAAAAATACTTGTACTAATTATCACAATGGCTATTAACTAACGAGATCTGTTACAATATATTGTAGTAAAAAGTCATCGAGTTTAATTATGTGTCACCTGTAAAACTATTGAATTTGGAAACTAATCGTTATGTCAATTTTTTCATTAGTAAATTGCTTACAGATTACAATCAAACTAGCGTATGTAGTGGTTGGTCAGAAATATCAAGTCAAGGCGTACGAACCGGTTCTGACAAGATTCGCTTATTTGTGAGATTCGTTAGCAACGGCAGGAACATATTTATTATGGACGGTACTATCTCACAAATGCATTATTCAAAAACTTACATTACGACCTTCTATAATTGTTAGTTTTACTTAAAGTATAAAAGAATGCCATACAGATAAGTTAACACGAGCGACTATCTATACCTTGATTTATATGTCTTAACTGATTATAACGCATATAATTATTCATCTAATTATTCTATTGGATACGTTAAAACATGTTACTTACCTCAATATGTTCCTTGAATCTCTAAAAATATGTTAAGAAAAAGTTAAATGTACTAATGTCCGTTCATTACTTTCTTGATTTGAATTATCGATGTCGGTTAGTTGGTGATTATTATCAATGAGAAAGATGAGGCGAATATGTCGTTGCTGTTCTTTTGTGTATATGTGAACAGATTATTCGATGCGGACGATAGTTATTCGATGAGTAGTATTCGACTTATCTTTAAATCGACCTTTGTTTTTCTGTTCATTTCATACGAAAGCTATTGTGACGACTTCTTTTTCGATGAGGAGAAAAACAACACCATTTTTAATACCTTTGCTTGCTAGAATCACAAACATGTGCTCCTCGCTTGTAGACATAGAAATAGTTGAGTGAAAAGAAAACCATTTCGTTTACCTTTTTATTGATGTGAAAACGTGTGGAAGAAAGAAAAATAAAAGTACGGCATGTATGTAACTAAAGTACGATAGGGTATACATCGTACAGAAACACGTGGCTGAGCACTCATCGTAGGTAATAAACGCAGAAGATAGTCGCTACAAAAAGTGAAATACGTCTTTTGATTTAGTATGCATGATGACGAAACAAAACAAAACATAAAAATGCTAATCAGTTCGAAAATAAAGTTCATAATACAGATCTACGTATCAATGATCATATTGTCACAGAGTGACTCATCCCGTGACCTCATTTCATCATCATCTTATGCAATATGCATAGCTGGCGATTTCTCATTCAAGATTAATTCACTCCTTCCAACATAGACCTTCTTTCGATCTTCAGAGTTAGCCATCTGATAGATTTCATAGTCTGTTCACACATATTTTTATTGAACTAACGAAGCAGAAAAAATAATTCTTCAAAAAATGATACTTCTTGTCTATGCTGGTAATTAGTGAATCTAAGGGTGTGAGTGTGGGTGTAGGTCTGAGTATTCTATTCTTTCTACAGACACCCACACCCACACCCACCCTCGACGCAAAAAGCCGAAAGAGATGCGATTTAATAGAATTGACACCGCATGTGTAATCATATTGAGTTGTGATGAACACCGATTGAACTTAGTAGATGAAGACAGCGGAGAGCGCGATGAAATCGAAGTTGACATTTCGTATGCTCCTTTTCCTTGGTAGCTCTTCATCGCTTTCCATCAAGCAACAACTCAAATACCGCTCATATGAACGCCTCTGTGAAAAATCATGATATTATTTGTTCACATTATCAGTATCTTAAAACACTCCAAAAATAGATGACACTCTTTGAGGGCGACTCGCTTCACCCTCGTCCACTCAACTTTCTCTCAAAATGGTAATCAGCAACATTTCAACACTTATTTCAAAGCTTTCACTGATCACTTATGCATGAGAACAAAAAGCACCTCACGATCAGTTCCTTACTTTTCGGTCGACTTCACAACTCGTAGGATGTGTGTGGGCACACTTTTCATTCTACTGACACCCTTATCCTCACTTACACTCACCCTCAACGTCTTTGAACACACATATATTTTTCAAGATTAATTATCGATTCTATGGTTCCGGAAAGCAATATGTGAGTGAGAGGAGGCATAAGATGAATGATCTGAACTGATCTTCATGTTTTAGTCAAAGTATTCATAAAATAGATTTAGAGGAAAACAAAATTCGACTTTTCTTTTCAAAATGATTAGAGTTTTGCGTTGATGCTCATCGTATTCAAATCAATCGATACTTCGGTCGCATTAGAAACAACATCTGCTATCGTCTCTACTTGTGTGTGGGTGTGAGCATATTATCTGTTACCCACAACCCACCTTCATAGAAAGTATATGCACTGTATTCATGATCATCAGTCACTCGTATTCGGCGTAATTCTTTAGTTTATTTCTCTTTCTATTTTTCTCATTGTTTTGTATGACAACGAATAAATGAACGTTTGTTTAATTGATGAAAAAATACTATTTGTTTTACATTTCTATCGTGAAACTTTATAGCACTAATGTTCTCAAAATCTCCTCGATTCTAACATTTTTTTTTCAACGCTGTTAACTAATTTTACAATTCCAGTTTATCGATCTAAACATAGCTATAACTTTTACGAGAATTTTTGACACCGAAACAAGATAAATATCGATTTATAGAAAAAGTCTCCTTCTGCAAATTAACACATCAAAGAATCTCAAATAGATGCTAAACTATTTGTTATATTGAAAGATAGTTTACCATAAAGATATAATCGTTATGTACAAACGGAGTGTTATTTTAATTCTTCGATATTCAGTCGAGTCAAACCGTACTCGAACCATTTCTAGCACGGTTACATCCTCAAGATGCATTCAACAAGACAGAATGAATCAATTTACGAATTCATTAAAGATCTTCAAATAGAACAGCATAAGAGCTTAATAATGGCTGAAGAACGACAAGCTATATGAATAAAATCAAAGAAACATGCAAAATATGAGCTTTTGAATCAATAATTACAGCAATTAGTTTTCTCTTTTCATGCACACGGTAATTTATTGAACTAAAACTATTTTTCTGTATCATATATACAACCACTTCTTTATATTAAGCTCAAATATCGGGATCTCATCTCTCGGTACATTCTTTGGAAAATCTGTGCCAGTATTTTATTGAACATTAAACTTCAATCTATTTTTAATTATAATAAATTAAAGAAGAATGTATTAGTGCAAAAAGACATTTTGATGAAAAGAAAAGCATTTTTATTAATGATAATTTTGAATTCATAGCGTAACAAATTAATTTATTATTGTATGCACAAGCAGAAGTTATTATGGTGTATACAAATCAGGTATGTCATATAAATGAATAAATAAATGGTAAAACAATGTTCTTTGCACCATACATATGACGTCGAATCGAAGATATTTATAGAAAATGATTTTTGTGGAAGATTATTTTTCCTGTAAATAAACATAATAATATAAAATATCTTACATTGTTTTGAAAGTTTTATATCACGTCGATAAGTTTATTTCTTTTCATCTCATTTCAGGTGTAATCACTGCTTTTTAAGAATTGATATAGACGAAAATTATGTCTCACATTTTGCAATTCTTCGTGTCTAAAAAGAATTTCTCTTGAACTTAATGAATATTTTAAACTACTTTTCAGATTTGTTTCAAAATATTTTCTATGTAGCGTATGTTGAAATTATATGTGACACTTTAATTTTTTCATGTTTGTAACTGTTTCGACTAATTGAGCGGCGCTCGAGTGGCTCTTCCAAACTTGTAAAAAAAAAAAGATACAAAGGTGTTCAAAGTGGCTTTTGATTTTTACATTAAAGTCTCACATTTAGTCTGAACATGTTCCCATGCGGAAAGTTCTCAAAAATATAGAGTAAAAAAAGGTCCTATTTGGAATATCTGTCGTTATTTATTCATGCGAAAACAATATTATAGGGGATAGGAATAGCAATTCTGGCTCTTTTTCTTATTAAAAATCTATTGTAGTTAAAGAAAAATAAATAGACATACCTGAATTTTAGGTTTTCGAACATCTTAGAGAGTTTTTTAAAAGATCATCTTATAACATTGAAAGTTTAGTTTATCAGTATCTAAATTGAACATGTTAATCCTCTTTCAATAATATCATTATTCTAAGTACGTAATTATACTTGAAATATTTTTAGCATCGATGCTAACGATCAAACTTAGGCGGTACTTTTGCATTTTCTCTTGTTGTTTGGTGGATGCCGCTCTTATGAGTTATAAATAGTTTTTAAGTAATTAAGATAATTATATAGTATGAAGAATATGAGTGACAACGTGTTATCTTGATCTATTTATTTTTATAAACAACATCAAAAAGATAAAACATGTTTTTCAAGTGATATTTTTCTAGAAAAAAAAGCAAGAATTCAGTTACTTCGCAATTCTTTGACAATCATGTCATCAAATACGAGCATAGCTGATGAAATTAATAATCTTAACCTAAGTATGCAGTTGCTTTACCAAATAACGAGTATTATTTTTATTGTTATTGGTGCAGTGGGCCATACATTGAGTATTTATGTTTTTACTCGTCCTGAATTTCTTCTAAATCCATGTGCACGTTATTTTCTGGCATCGGCTATATCTGGTAGTATGGTTGTCTATACCATTGTTCCAATACGAATGCTTCAATTTGGATATAATATCAATTTATTTATATATTCAACTTCAGTATGTCAAGTTTTATCATATTTTTTAGTGTGTGCAAGGTAGTTTCTTTGCCAATAATCTATATGTTATCAAGTAAATCTTATTTTTCTTGACTTTTAGATTACTACCATCTTGGTTTATTGCCTTAGCTTCAATTGATCGGTGAGTACTTCTCACTCCCTTACTACCAGATACTTAAGACATGTTTTAACAAAAGTGAAGATTACATTTTCGAGTCATCACTTCTCAAATTTCCTTTCTTGTGTACATAAACTCTTGTTTCATATAATGAATTTCGATATTTTTTTATAGGTTTCTTGCCAGTTCACCATCAACTGACCTTCGTGCATGGAGCAACATTCATATTGCAACTCGTGTTATATTAATAACAGTTCTATTTATTTGTCTCATTAATATTCATTATCCTCTCAATCAGACAATCGTTTTATTACCAAGAATATCTTGTACTTTCTCATCAAGTACTTATCAAGCATTTTTTTCTCTATGGAACTTGACAATCTGGAGTTGGATTCCAACTATTTTGATGTTAATCTCTGGTTTACTTACTATTCGACATATTCATCAAAGCAAAAAGAGAATAAGTCCTCAAAATAATTCACAACAAAATCAAAAGAAATTAGATCGTCATTTAATTCGAATGCTAATTATTCAATGTTTTATATTTGGATTTACGACCACTGTCTGTTCAGTTATTCAGCTTTACGTGTCTATAACAAATAATCTAATAGTAAAATCTGATTTAACCAAAGCGAAAGAACAATATGCTATGAATGCTGCAAATTTAATAGCTATTGTCGGTCCATGTACAAGTTTTTATTTGTTTACATTGTCAAGTCAACTGTTTCGTCGTCAACTGGTCAATGCATTTTGTGGGCAACGATTTTCACAGAATTTGACTACTACAAATGGAAACACCAATCCAAGAGATGGTCAACATGTTAATAAAAATTAAGTTTCCAATTTTCGACTAGATTATACAAAAAATATTTATATGTTGTATTAATTATGCTTTTTTTGTCGTAAAGATTATTTTTAATGTTGTTTGTGCACACGAATAAAATGACTTAATTACTCTGTGTTTGCAGTTTGTATAGCTAGTGACTAGGTATATATGAACAATAAAAATAAAATCGAAAAAAACATTATTGATCAATAAGAACACTAATATTGAACAAATCAAACAATGAGATGTTATTATTAAAGATTTTTCAGTGTATGATTTATATTTATTTCAAATGTGATATTTCGTTGTAGTTTACAATTTCATCAAACAAGGGTGTGTGTATAGGTTCATATACATCATCGATCAACTGAGCACCCACACCCGCCTGAGATGGGTAGAAACTGATTTATTTAAATTCAAATTGAATCTATATAAAACATTGTGTGTTGAAGTTGATATCAAACTAACCAACATCATTCACATTATGTAGTATCAGAACGTATATACGAATTAGGTTTTTCTTATCAGATAAGAATTTTTCTTTCTCTTTCTTTTTTACGTCCTTTTACGCAAATATTGATATGAGCGAGGAATAAGCCTTGCTTTTTCACACTGGTCGAAGACGAGATTACATTTCATTTTTTTTACTAGTGCATAGTAAAAATGAATATATGCCAGAATGTTCTATTGAAAATGTCTTTAGCCTTTTATCTTGGTAGAGAAATGACTTCAACTTATCGATCTTGGTGAAAATGTCCTTAGTAATTGATCCTTCTGGGAAAAAAAACGTCTTTGATTCTCAATCGTTGTCTTTTAAATATAATTTTATTGACATGTAGACGGTGTAAGTCGATGAATATGGGCTGGTAGACGAATGTGAAAGTAAATAATTCTAAAATATAAATTCACATTCATCTACTCACTCATATCCTTAATCAGAGACATTTTTTACGAAGAGGATTTTTAACAAAGTTATTCTCTTTACAGACGAAAATTTGAAATTATTTTATAAAAGATATGCTGAATAGAACATTCCTGGCTGTTACCATAAAATCTAATTCAGTTTTCAAATTCTCTATAGATATCAAAACGAATATGGCAGCCGCAAATGTACAAGCAATTACTCTGAATGATTATGACTATATAGATGAGGATTCGATTGACTGCGAACTAAAATGTTCTCTTTGTATGCAGCCATTTCAAATACCTGTTAGCGCAACCCATGTAAACATGAAACGCAGAATAGACGCGTATAATCGCGTTTCTCATTGAAAAACGCAGTGAGACGCGGTTAAAACTGAATTTTCCTGCGTTTAGACGCGTATGTATGAACAAACGCATACAAACGCAAAAAGGAAATAATTTCAATTTGCGTCTAGACGCGATCGTGTATATGATCGCTTTTAGACGCAGCTCAAAGAAGTTTTCAATGCGTCCGAACGCGAGGGTCAACAAAATCGCGTTTACAAGCGGTTGATAAAGTTTTTGAAATGCGTTTGCACGCAGTCGCATATATTAACGCGTAGGTTCGCAGGTATAGAAAATCGTCGAACGCGTTTGGACGCGGCATTAACTTAAACTGCATTTACAAGCGGTTGATAAAGTCTGTTGAAATGCGTTTACACGCAATCGCATACTTGAACGCGTCTATACGCAGTTATACAAAATATCCAAACGCATTTGAACGCGATCTTGTATAGAAGCGCACCTGGACGCAATTGTATGCATTTTTCGAACGCGGTTGAACGCGATCGTTAGTTAAAGTGCGTTTGTACGCGATCAATGAGACTTATTCAAACGCATCTCAACGCGATTTTGTATTAAATTATATCCCTACAGCAATGCAAATAATAAAAAAAGTTTATTCTACAACTTTAGCAAGCGTAGATATCATAAAATTATAAAAAGGCATACAATCTGATTTTCTATATAGTTGAATTTAGTAAGAACTAAAAGAAATTATTAGTTTAAATATTTAGTAATACATGCACGTAAGACAAAAATTCCTATGAAGATACGAACTAGCTTGTCTGAAAGCTTTATGTATGTGAATGTATCGAATGAAAAAGTTATTTTATTAGCAACTAACATAAATAGACTAGATTTATAGTTATTCTGAAGCAACCTACATACTTCTTCTTTATTATAATAATTATATTAGAATATACTTTGATCAAAATCATCATTCAAATATGAATATCTTTGTTCAAATACGGACCAACAAAGAAAAAAAAGAATTAAAAATATCAAAAAAATACACATGTTTCTGTTAGCTTTGAGACAAAAACATTTATAGAAGACTATTAATTATATTCGATAGCATCTAAAGTTTCACAAAATTACAAAATACCCTTCTTTATAAGTGTACATATATATCTATCAAAACAGATTTTGGTGGAATAAAAAAAAATACTGTGCGTAACGAAATTTCGAATATTTATTATTCTGTGTCTGGCAAAAAACGTAAAATTCTAACAATTGTTTTCAAATAGCGAATCTATAAACAATATTGAATGTTCCTATCATCAATTATTATGAATAAATAAATATCAATCTCTTCATATATTATTCTTCGATTTTGATTAAACTTTGTCGAAATAATCCCTAAATATCTAATTTAAGTGACGGATTTCAATTTTAAGAATATAGAAAAATTGTTCCTGATATTTACATTAGATGACAAAAAGAAAATAGAAAAAAAAGAAGTATATTATTCCATAAAATATGATATTCAATTAATAAATTTTGATATATTGGCGCCATTTAAAGTTGTATAAAAATTTGCTCTATAGAAAAAAAATACAACGAAAATGGTTTGAACAAAACAAAGTTTTAAAAATTTGAGAAAAAATTGTATATTAGGTTGTTTTTCATTCAAGCTAATTTTGTGTACGAAAATAGAAATATTAATACTTAAAATAAATATTTAAGTCAAGACTATTGAAATAATACATGCATTCATATATATATGAATTTGAGATTCATATACAGTTCACCATTCATATGACAACGATTGTCGTCACATGTGACTGAACGGTATGTATGCTTGCTTGTTAATCGCTTGTTCGCTTGTTCTATTCTCGCTTGTTCACTTGTTCTATTCTCACTTATATCATTCTAGAAAAATCAAAAAAAAATGCAATAACACTCCGTTGGCCTATAATGAGGTAAAGACCATCGTTAGGGGATATTGATGGCGACTCAGATCAAACCTGAGACGGATTGTGATGTTCTTTTTCAATTTTAAAATCCAGCCGAACGCGTCTAGACGCAGTTCTATTTATTATCACAGTTTATATTTGAACTGCGTCTAGCATCGTTTCAAATTCGAACTGCGTCGTCAGTGAAACAATTGATGCGTTTGGACGCGTTTTATTTCTAACCGCATCTAAACGCATTTTCTCCTTAATCGCGTATAAACGCAAGGATTGTTTCATCCACGCTGCGTATAGACGCGTTCCTATTACTGCAATTCAGACGCGATTTGAACGCAGTTGACACGCGTTTCTATACAAAAAATATTTACATGGGAACGTGTGGTCACACATTTTGTCACGTATGTATCAGTCAATGGGTCGCTCGTCAATCAACATGTCCAACTTGTCGAATGAGAACATCCACTGAAGATTTCCGACCAATTTCGACTCGTATTGTACTCAATCAACTTGAGCGACTTCTCATGAAATGTAAACGATGTAATAAAACGCATATTCAACGAGGTAACATCAGTGAGCATGAACAACAATGTCCAAATCAAACAGTTTCATGCCCGGCATTTAACATCAAATGTCCTTGAAAAGGTACACGTAATGATTTGACCGAACATATCCAACAGTGTTCATATCAAAAAATTCGTCCAGTAATCGATGATATTTACGAACATTTAAAAAATATTTATGAACCATTGGTAGATGAGCTACAAACAGTTCGGCAGCAACTAGAAAAACAACTACAGCATAACAACGAACAAAATCACTTTCTTCTTGCAGTATTCAACAAGGGGAAGCCAGTGAGTGACCGATGTTCAGGTCATTCTCAATTTGGAGGGTGTCAGATACAACGAAGTATTCAAAGGGATAAAAGTGTGAAAGTTTTGCAGTCACTCTCAGATTATAAAACAAGGATTAGGCAACAACAACCAGAAGTTTTAATTCCGTCGCGGCCAATAAATGAGTTTAACACGAATCTTCCAGGAAATAACTCACTTAATTGCGCCAATTGTCAAAATAGTATTGATCCTGGAAATGTGGCACTTCATCACTGTGAAGGCGGTTGTATTTGTCGAATATGTCTTGAGAACTATGGTAGTCTAGACAGATAAGATGAAAACTTCACTAATAAATCTTAATTGTCTGCATTCTATTATTTTGAAGACGACAAAGTTAATGTACTCTGAAGTTAAAATACTTTTACTAAAATCTAAAATAATAATAAAGAACATTCAAAGAAAAAAAGGCATTCTACATTCTAACACATCGTCTAAATCTATACTGAAAACTGAATTTTTCTCAACTTGAACGAAATTTGACTCCTTTGGATATTTAGAAAAGTAATATCTTCGATATTTCATTTATAAGTCCATCATTTTATGCTCAATTTTTTCCGACAACACTGTTTGAGAATAGATGTTGTAGATAGTTTTTTGGTATTAATTGAATTGTTTTCAATTAGTTATTTCTTTTATGAACTAGATTTGATTTCGTCAGAGATTTGAAGATTATATATTGAATAGAATGCAATTCTCCACAGACAAAGCGGCGAAAAAGCTTGAGTCAAAGTTGAGAGAATAAATCGCAACATTGTAATACATCTAACCCCGTGAGTTTTTAATATCGATTATGAATCTGTAATAAAAAATAAAAGCCAATATTAACCATGTTTGAAATGCTGCTTGTATAAAAAAAACAAATTGAAGCACATGAACATTGTCACTCACGTTGTAACAATTTTAGAATATTTTTTTTTTCTAATGCATAACTAAGGATAATAATAACAAGAAATATACTGTTTCTTGGTTGAATACATCAATTAAATTGTATCATCTAACAGAAAGAAAAGCGCGTATAGACCACATCTTCTATATTAATTGAATATTTTTCCACAAATACAGAAAATGACCTAGTCTTTTGCACTAATTATACAGTTTTATGCCTGGTATTTTATCACATATTACACAAATTGTTAAAATTATAATAAAATTCTTTACCAAATTTTGTTGAATACAACTTGCAAACTAATACTATCAAAAGTCAAAATTTTATTAACTATCATTACTCCACATAAAGTTATAGATATAGAGGTAGTTCTACCAAAAATCTTCAATAGTCAAGCTGAAATTTTCGGTGATTAAAGGTTTCATTAACTGAAGACTCATCACATCCACGCCTTCTGAACAACCTTATATGATCCATATTTTGTTTGATTACTTTTTATTTGAAAATAATAATTACAATGTCATTTTGTTATTGTCTATCATTAATGGTTCTAGCATTGAGTGCTGCTGTAATAACTTGTCCGTTTGATGGAGTGATTCGAATTTGTCTTGGCATGAATTTACTCCAACATGTAACGATCATATTGATGAATTCATACCGAAATGGTTTTGATGTTGCAAGAAACAAATAAAAAGGGACAACACTCATTAAATAAACAATAAATTGTGTAAAGAAATTAATAAATGATTCAATTTCTAATCGTTGAGCACTTTTATTGACAACATAAGATGCTATTATGCTATAAATAAGATAAGATGAATAAGGAATTGTTGTCAAAATATTAACTAAAACTTCCGAAATTACCATACGTAGAAGATATCGATCTCTTTGTCTAAAACGTACTTGAGTAGCATGTTGTCGATGAAGACTATGAATAGTGAGGGCACTAAAGATACTCATTAATATTGGTGGTAAAATAGCAACAAAAATAATTTGATAAATTGAAAAAAATAATTTGTATAAACCAAACATTCCACAGACACCATTGTTTAACTCCATAAATATAGGTATATGCATACTGGCTATTATCCATATTATACATATAATAAAAACAAATTTCTTTGCCTTTTGAACTGAATGTAATGAACGAATACGAATATTTGTTCGTGTTGCAAAAAATCTATCAACACAAGCCAGTACAACTGTATAACGAAATAATTGACTAGAAACTAGAGTACCATAAAATCTTATTTTGCAATAGACTAATGATTGTGTTTGTGGATCAATATGATTAAATCCATAAAATATTGGAATAAATGACCATGTTAATATAATTATTGCAAAAATTGAAAGAGAAATAAAATAAATAGAACTAGGTTGATGACGATACGATCGTCTTGTAAACATTATACAATTACAAATATTACCAACAAGACCCAATGCAAAATAAGTCGTCATTCCATATCGAGTCAGTGCTTGTTGTATTAATGGTAAGGTTGTAACAGCCATTGTCTCTATACTTCTATTAAGAAAAACAAAATACAAAGTCAGAGTTGAAAGAAAAATAGAAATAAAAAGAAATGATATCGTTTTTTTTAACCCGCAGAGAATATATTATTATATGATAGTGGAAAAAAGATTTCTTTTTTTTTGACAAAATTAATTAACAGTGAATAGGACAGAATATGACATACCATTATCTTTTAAAAATAGTGACGTCCCATTTTTTATTTTAAACATAGTTTAATTATTATTAATTATGAACGAATGATTGCATGCTTTTATTTCTAAAAAGTGCAGTTACCCATGTAAATATTTTTGCCCTCAAAATACGTCTGAACACGTTTTATATAAAACCTAAAATCCTGAAAATATATGATAATCCATCTCAGATCCAAGCTGAGTCGCTACTTTAAGCTTTAGAGAAATATGGATTATTTGTCGTATGTTTAATTGAATTTTAGTCTATTTTAACGTCATCTAAACATTCTTTGATTAAAAGTCTAATGAAGTTTAGCCGAATAAAATGTATGTAAACCAATAATTACGACCACATGGTTAACTTTTTTATAGCAGCAATTTTTGGAATAAAATCACGTGTGATACACACGAAAGGAAACGCGTGCAAACACGCCCGGAAATATAAGTGCATCTCAACACATTCCATATTAAGAATCCGTTTAAATGCGTCATAAAACCGTTTTTAACCGGATTTGGACGCGTTTTTGTGTTCCGTGATTATATGTGCACTTTCTCAATGAATACCCAACCATCCATCCTTTATCATCCCTATTACTGTGTGTGGGTGAGAGTGAATACAACATATCTACATTCATCCTATTTGGTAATTATAAATCAAATAAAATATTCAGAAGTTAATATAACACATTAATTTATTCTATGCAATCAAAATTTCAGTTTGTATTATTACTTATCCCAATAAATTAAATCAATATATATTTAAAAAAAGTCATAACAAATCAAGCACTTCGCTATTGACTTTAATGAAATTTGTCCTCATATATATTCAATAGTGTAGAATTAAAATCAAAATTTTATTTTAAAGTCTATTGTTTTTCAAATATAATCTATTATCTTCATTCTAATTTTAACTTGTTTGATGTTTTGAATAATACTTTGTCAGTCAGAGAAGAAAGAAACAGAACGAAACAATTAAAAGCGTTAGTGAGAGGAAAAAGAAAGAATAAACGAAGTATATCGTTCACTCGAACATCTACATGTCCACATGTTATATATTTAGATTAACGCATAATAGCCCATGATTTCAAGGTGTATCAATCAAAATATATTTATTGTTATGTTATTTATATCATTCATATAGCCATCCTTGTCTATAAATAGCATAAAATATGTAATAATCAAGATTCATCCGTACAAAACAAGAGAAGAAAGTTATTAATATTAAAATATCGAACAGCTAGAATACAACTATAATAATATTCATTTGTATTAATTATGAAATTGTCTTATCATTCTTGAGAAATCTATTGTTTTCATGGCGGACAATACAATATCATCCATAGGATCATTTGCCAATCAACGTTCTTCTGTTAATTTAGTAGTAACTCGTAAAAAGATAGTAACTAAATATAAAGATTCAATGCCTCAGTAAATATCTTTTTTGTTCCTGATTCTCTAATAATAATAATTTTCATTAGAAACAGTTCAGTTCAAACAGAATCATCATGGTCATGGAAATCATTTGTTGCATTTGGTATATTTACAACTATATCGATGATCACTGCTATTTTAGTTGTATGTTTAACTACACCAGGAAAAAGAGGTATGCTATTTTTGTTTTATTTTGGAAATATTGACATATTTCATAGATAATCCATGTCCGATAATATACAAAACACTACCTGACAACTTAGTCAATCAAAATTCACGACCACAGTCTGTAGCCTCTGGTGAATTTAATGGAGATGGTAAAATTGATATTGTAGTGGTGAATACTGGCATTGATAGCATGACAATTTTTTTTGGTATTGGTGATGGAAAGTTTACAAATGATACACAATATTCAACTGGTATAGGATCTAAACCATATTCTGTTGCGATCGGTCATTTTAATAACGACAATTTCATTGATATAGTTATTGCCAATTATGGATCTCATAGCATAGGAATTTTTTTTGGATATGGAAATGGACATTTTACACTTGAAGTAACATATTCAATTGGTATTTCTCAGCCACTATTAGTTCTCGTTCATGATGTAAATAATGATGATCAATTAGATATTATATCTGTTAATAATGGTACCAATAGTATAAGTATTATTTTTGGATATAATAATGGAACGTTTTCACGTGAAATGTTATATTCTACTGGATATGATTCTTTGCCTTTTGCAGCTGCTATTGGTGACTTTAATAATGACAAACAAGTTGATATCGCCATTATTAATTATGGTACATGTACTGTCAGTATTCTTCTCGGATATGGACAAGGATTATTTGCCTTTGAAAATATTTATTTTATTGGTTATAATGCACGACCATATTCCATAGCTGTTCGAGACTTGAATAAAGACCATAAATTAGATATTATTGTTGGTAATAGTGGAACTGGTACTGTTGTGGCCTTTTTCGGATTTGGAAATGGAACATTTGGAAATAAATCTACATTTACAAGTAATATTTTTGGTCCACAAGAGATCGTTATTGCTGATGTAAATAATGATGATGTGGAAGATATTATCATAACTAATAGTTTCAATAATAGTGTATGGATATTTATAGGTGATAATGAAGGAAATTTTTCAACACAAATAACAGCTTCAACAGGTGTAAATTCTAATCCTACTTCAATTATTAGTGTCGATCTCAATAATGATAAATATAAGGATGTTATTGTAGTTGATAAAGGTACAAATAATATTATCGTAATGCTTGGTTATAGTCCCATTAGTTTTTTAAATAAAACAAGATATTCTAATGGAATTGATTCTCCATCGTCAGTTGCTGTTGGTCATTTTAACAATGATAATCGATTAGATTTTGTCGTAGTTAATTCTCAAGGTAGTAACATAGTAATATTTCTTGCAGATAGTAATGGAGGATTTACAATGAACGATACCTATTCCACTGGATTTATGACCTATCCAAAAACGGTGGCTATTGCTGATTTTGATAATGACACTCAATTAGATATCATTGTTACATTTTTTACTGATGATGTGATAAAAATATTTTTTGGAACTGGTATTGGCATATTCGGAAATCGAACAAGTTACTCAACAGGAGTAGAATCTGGATCTCAATCAATTGCCATTGGTGATGTCAACAACGATGGACGATTAGATATCGTCGTTGGTAATGTATACGCTGCAAATATCGGACTATTTATTGCAATTGATTATAGAAAATTTGAATATCGAACAATTTATATGATTGGCAATAATGCTAATCCATATTCGGTGGCTCTTGGTTATTTTAATAATGACAATCGATTGGATATTGTCTTTGCTGCTGATGCAGAGAACAATTTAATCATTATCTTCGGTTTAGGAAATGGAACTTTTATAAATCCAGCGGCATTTCCACTTGGTTACGATTCTGCTCCATATTCAATCGTTCTTGCTGATTTTAATAATGATACCAAACTTGATATTGCAGTGGCTTGTCAAAAATTATTCAATATACAAATCTTTCTTGCTTTAGCAAATGGAACTTTTGCAAATCCGAAACCATATTTGACTCAAGATAAAGCTCCTCCAATCTCCATTGCTATTTCAGATTTTAACAACGATAAAATACTTGATATTGCTGTTGGACATTTGAATTCAAGTTATATAGGTATTTTTATTGGGATTGCTGATGGATCTTTTACAAATCAAATCACATTTTCAACTGGAAAACAAACTTCATCGTCTGTAATTGCTGTTGGTAATTTCAACAATGATGATTATATGGATGTTGTTATTGCTAATACTCAATTGAATAATATCGAAATATTTATTAGATATGATAGTGGAGGCATTATCCATTCACATACTTATTCAACTGGCTCTGCTACTAATCCGCATTCAATTCTCGTTGGAGATTTCAATCATGATAATCAATTCGATATTGCTGTTGCTAATTATGGTACTGGAACTATTAGTGTACTAATTGCGTATGGAAATATAACGTTTGCACCTCAAAGAAATTATCAAACAGGTTTGAATTCTTTACCAAAATCCATTATTGTTGCCGATTTTAATAATGATTTGGCATTAGATATGATTGTTGCTAATTTTGGTAAAGATAATATTGGTTTGTTCTTCGGATCTGGTAATGGAACATTTAAAAACCAAAAAAAGTATTTAACTGGTTCTGGTTCTCGTCCTTCTTCGATTGCTGTTAGTGATTTCAACAATGATAAACAATT